ATCGTGAAAAAATCCAAAAAAAAAATGGAAGATTATGTCCTTTTTGAAATGCCCATTTTTTGAAATTTTTTTAAATTAAATTTTCAAACTGTGAATATTTTTTGTCATTTTTGGTCAAAAAAAATTTCATGAAAATATTCGTGAAATTATTTTTCAAAAATGTTTTTTTGAAAGATTTTTTAGAAAAATTTAAAAAAAATTTGAAAAAAAATTTAAAATTTATTATTGTATATTATTTAAATTTATTTTAAAAATATTTGTTTTGAAAGATTTTTAGGAAAAAAAATCTTTCAAAAAAATTTTTGGGAATTTTTTGGTAAAACCCTAATGTTTGGTTTGATGTTGAAAAAACCTTAAAAAGAAACATTTGACAAAACGCTTTGTAAAACTATTTTTAAAAATTGTATCTTTTCCTGCATGTTTTTCAAGATATAAGGGCATTACAAGAATATATTTTGAACTTTTTTTAAATAAAATTTTCTGTCAAAATGTGAAGTTTTGTGTCATTTTTGGTCAAAAACTAGAAAAAATTTGATGAAAATGTTTGTAAATTTTTTTTTCAAAATGTTATCTTTTCTTGCATGTTTTTTAAAAAATTAGATCATTTAGAGAATTTGAACAAAATTTGAACTTTTTGTGTCATTTCTGGTCAAAAAACAAAAACAAATTGACAAAGATATATATACATGATGAAATACGCCATTGGCATAACACTTATTATTGTTTTAGCAAGAGACTCTAAGAGATTCTGTCTGCAAACAATAAAACCTTTGAATTTTAATCAGGGTGCAAGGTCAATAATTTTCTTTTTACCTTTAAGCTATTTCTGTTCTATTCATCAATAACCTTTTTTTCTAAAATTCTTCTAATTTATAAAACATTTCAAATTCATTATCCCCAGCATATTTTGCTTTTTATGAATAAGTCTGCAGGGCGAGATGTGTAATTGTGAGAATGGAGGTAGGACAAGAAAAACAAAAATACACAGATGACCTCGAGCAGTTATGTTTCCAATTATAATATTTGAAAATTTTACTTGATGGCAGTGTTCTTCACAAGTCCAGAACTCGAACTCTCATTGAACCCAGGTTTATTTTCTTCTGTGCTCATGACACAACATGGATTAGAGTCTTCAACTCAGACTCAAATTTAAGATTCATAGTGTTTCTCAAAGTTATGGAAGGATTGTGCAGTTTCAGATACCTTGCATCATCTGATGCTACTGACTCACACAATGCAGGATGACAGGCAGAGTCCCTCCTACATACAAATAATGCAGGTAGTGTTGTCTTAAAGTCACAAAAATGTCCTTAAATCCCAGCACACATAGAGAAAACCATTTACACCCAGATTCACACCAACAGATACAATGGGTGAAAAATTAACCACATATTGAATGTTTTCAGAATGTCACAGGAAACCTGAGTATCTGAAAACCAATAAACAAACAGAGAGAGCGTGAAAACTGCTACTTCCCTGCTCAATTCCCTCACTGTGGTTCAGGGTTGAGCTCACACCTACAGAAAAAACATCTCTGTTTTCCACATGGAGCACTTCCCTCCAGTACATTGTATATTTTTTAAACCTTATCCAAAGCGGTAGGGCCAACAGTTATATTAGCTAGACTTCAATGATTCAAAATTAATAGCTAAGCATTTTGTTTTTGTTTTTTTTTTTTTTGCTTCATTTTTTTTAAAACTCCACAAATGTTACAGACAGATATTTAAGTGAAGTGAAACTGGAGAAGCTAGAAACAAGAAGCTGCTGCTGGAATAATGCATCAAAATGGATGCATAAATGTCCCAGTAGATGCACAACATTAAAATTTGCATAAAAATGTCCATGCTAACTCATTGAAACACCATTATATAAAACACTCAAACAATCAGGGCTAGAAAATATGATTTCCATTCCCATCAGTATTATCAGCATTATTAATGAAATCAGGAGGACAGAGAGAAAAGTGGCCAAATGCTTCACTCCTCTGCAGGAAGCCACTGTCCTTCATGTCACCTCAGGGTTATTCAATATAAAAGCAGGTTTCTTCAAAGACACGTCTCCAACACTTGAAATGGGCGATAATGAGTGAAATTACAAGCCTTCATCGGCGCTCCTATCTCCCTCTTTAATGTGAGATGTGAAAGCACTTTCAGAGAGAAGATAACCTCTCTGTTGTGGAGGTGAGTATAATAATGAGACATTAGAAAACGAATTTAGGGGAGGACATGCATGCACTCACCTACACAGATTTACTTAGACTTGCATAACATATATTTATACATATATAAATATATAATATATACAGTACATATACATATATGTATACATATGTAATAAATATATATATATAACTTCTGTGTGCAAAAGGGTTGTACAGGATAACATATGCATAAATATATATGCAAATATACATACATGCATATATGTAGGTATGTATATATGTATATATATATATATATACACATAGACATATATACTATATGTTTGCAGGATGTTACTGTGAGTCACCATGTTTGCTGTATGAAATACTCAGAGCAGCAATTATCAGACTTTTCAGGTGTTATTGTGACATTCTGTTTAACGCCAAGAGAGAGGGAAATGGAGAAGGAAGTTCTATATTTTTAACAGACAGTAAAGAAATAAAAATAAAACCTCTGGGTTTAACGTTATGTGCAGAAAAAGCGCAGCGCAGCAATTATTGTTTGTAGCTCCGAGACTGAATCTGAGAGAGACTGAAAATATTTGTCTGTGTGTAATTTGAAATGTTTATTGTACTCAGCTGTTTTGTGTTTATATGGGCAGTAAAAATAGCTCAGTTTAAAATCAGCAAATATAGAAAAATGACAGAAAAACAATCAGTTATTCTGTGTTATTTAAATGCTTTCCAAATAACTGCATAAATGTATTTTTATTGAACTTTTATTCCTACAATAATACACTTTACTATGTCCCCTAAAAACTGTTATTCATTTTCTTGTAATAGTTTCATTTTATTAAACTTCTATTTTAAAAAACTAATTACTATCAATTTCAACACACATCAATTATTCTTATGTAGATCTTAGTTTTTAAATAAAAGGTTTAAACTGAAATTCTGTTAGTGCTATACTTGGTTTTTCTTTAATAAAATAGTATATTTGGGTTGACCCAAATTAGATGTTGCAACATAATGACTCGTGAATAAGTCAGTAATAAACTAAACAATGCATTTGGGATCCAGTAATAAGAATATTTAACAGAACTATTTATTCTGGAATTTCCTGAAATCAGAATAACATATTCCGTCTCCGTCTCTTGTAACAGGATTTGTAAAAATAATCATTTGTGAATATTTTCTGCAGTTCCAGCCGCACAGTCACTTGAAGTTTCTTTGGAGGACTAAGTGGCGATTAGATAACCTCATTTTAATGCAGGCCCCGGTGTTCCTGCTGGGTGTGCAGTTGGCAAACTCATTCAAACATTAGTTGGAGAGCAGCAGTTGGTGGAAGAGAAAGTGTAAGACCTGCTTGGCTTACATGAAACCGTGGAAACTAAGAAAAGGAGTGCCGGTGTCTATAATCTCATACATAATTCTCAGACTTCTTTGACAGCCAGAAATACTTATTTGCTTCACTCCCACAGAGAGACACAAAGCCGCAGCTACAACACGGTTGTCAATTTTCCATTAATGTCAAAACACCCAGAGGCAAAACAAAATTTACTTTGACACTGAAGACGATAATTGTCATATAAATCCACTGCATCTGTTTTAATTACCGATTACTAATAAAAGATATTTGTCGACATTTTATTTAGAGTTCAACTCTCAGATGACATCAGCAGTGGTGGTCTTCAACACAATGACGCTAACTGACGTGATGAGTCATTAGCTGTATTCTGTCAAATAATCCTTCAAGCTTGTATTTCAACATTAAATAAAATATAAAAACTGAAATTTTAAA